TTACAGACAGCGTCTCCTCTAGAGACGGCGTCTCCTTTACAGACAGCATCTCCTCTAGAGACGGCGTCTCCTTTACAGACAGCGTCTCCTCTAGAGACGGCGTCTCTACAATCTGTAAAATGTCTGTCGTTCAAGATGGTCCTGACAGTCCAGTTTCTGCTCATTCCCAACACGTCTGGGTCTATCCTTGGTCAATGTTACTCAGTGATTTGATCTCTTACATGGACAAGAAGAAACCCACAGTCTGATTGTTTTCTGCTCGTCTCTGGGTAAAGGGTGTTTTCACCAGTATTATATTCATTCAGAGGTTCACCTAACGAGTGGTCTTCCTCGTCATCTTTCTTTTCTACCATCAGTGTTTTTTAATGGAGAGCCAAGCTTCTTCTTCTTCTTCTGGACTTTGAAGAACAAACTCAGAGTCTGTCTCATGTGTTCAAACAAATGTCAGCAAACCGTGTCAAGAAGAATAACCAGTGGCTGTATTTGTTCAGATTTTTATCACAAAATGCTAATAATATAAACAGTGACACTGAACAACGTGGACAAAGAATAAAAAGCCTATTTTTTATTCTGTATATACAGAAATAAAGATTTCAGTTTGTTGCATTGCTTTGTTGTACAAATCAAATGTGCTTGTGGCATTTTTTTTATTCTTATTTATTTTACAGTAATCTTTTTGTTTTTGGCTTCACTATTAAAGTTTAAAGGCTGTACACCCAGGAGACACGCTGCTCTTTGTCTTTTTTTCTGTTTTATTGTTTAAACTGAATTTAAAGCATTTTGGGGACTGCCTGAAAGCAGCCACTTTTTTATCATCCAGGTATTATTATTTATCCAGGTATTATTATTTATCCAGGTATTATTATTTATCCAGGTATTATTATTTATCCAGGCTTTATTTATCCAGGCTTTATTTATCCAGGCTTTATTTATCCAGGTATTATTTATCCAGGTAATATTTATCCAGGTATTATTTATCCAGGCTTTATTTATCCAGGTATTATTTATCCAGGTATTATTTATCCAGGCTTTATTCATCCAGGTATTATTTATCCAGGCTTTATTTATCCAGGTATTATTTATCCAGGTATTATTTATCCAGGCTTTATTTATCCAGGCTTTATTTATCGAGGCTTTATTTATCCAGGCTTTATTTTTTCCAGGCTTTATTCATCCA